TAGCTCCTTGTTCCAGCTTACACTTCTCGATATCTATAGGCCCCTTCCAGTGTAGTCGGTGTTGAACACAGGGATATTAATCTGTTGCACCAGTCACTTCTGAAGTGGTTCTCTTTGTTTATTTGGCTTCTCTTTGCAGGTCTCTTCAGTGTCTAACTTCTGCCCTGACACAAGCGGGTGGAGGTGGTCTCTTGTTTAGGTTCGCTTGTTCAGTCGTGCTGTGGGAGGGAGGGGCACTAGAGAAATGTCACTGTTCTGTGTGGGGAGCACTCACAGTGTTCCAGCCTCACTGGGTTTGCCCCCACTCTCGGCGCATGTGCTTTCCCCGTCTACACTGCTCAGGCTCCAGGCTGCTCTATAGGGAGCGGGCCCTGAGTTGCGTGCAGCTCCAGTTTTTGTGTACTCCACAAAAGCACAGACTCAGTTGGGCCTGCGTATTGTGCCTTCCCTGGCACAAGCAGCTCAGGAAGCCAGGAGCTTGATGAGTGCACTCTCCCCGGGTGCGGTGCGCCTTATCCCCTCAGTGGTCCCAGCCTCAGTTTCCACACTCGCTGGTCTGGTGCGCCTTGTATCTGTTCTGGGGAGCTGGTCTCTAGCCGCGACCCTCCCGGTTGATGTCAACCATCCAGAATCTCAGGAAGTCTGCGGTTAGAAACTGGAAGCCTGTTTGCAGTTTGGTAGGGAATGCTGTCTCTGGGGCCGAGTTTGCCTCTTTCCCCTCCCCCCTGCCTCCTGCCTCTGGCGGGGGATTGGCCGGTCCTCAGCTGGCTAGCTCTTCTCTGGAATTGTTCAGGCTTTCTTTTGTTCTGTGAATGGCTGGCAGTGTGTTCGGTTAGCGTGCTTTTCGCAGGTTAATTTTCTCTCTCTCTCTTGCTATCCCACAGTTTAAGTTGCTATCTCATGTTAGCTCCCTCCAATTGCCCTCAGCACATTCGGGCCCAGTCCTTACCCTAAGCAATGCCACCCACTCCTCTCCGTTCAGCCCCCACTTGCTGGTGGTGGATGCGAGCGTCTGGGGTACTTTTCTGCTGGGAGTTGCTTTTAGGCATGTAATCTGTGGGTTTTATTTATTTTTTCCTCCCAGTTAGGTTGCCCTCTGAGATTTGAAAACTTCCCCCAGACCCACCAGTGAGAGGGTTTCCTGGTGTTTGGAAACTTCCTCTATTACCACTCCCTTTATTACGGTTCTCTGTCCCTAGCTCTTTGGTTTCTCTTTTTATCTCTTATATTTTGTCCTACCTCCTTTTGAAGACAATGGGCTGCTTTTCTGGGTGTCTGATGTCCTCTGCTAGCGATCAGAAGTTGTTTTGTGCAGTTTGCTCAGTGTTCAAATGTTCTTAAGATGAATTTGTAGGGGAGAAATTGGTCTCCCCATCCTATTCCTCTGCCATCTTAGCTCCTCCTCTCTCCCTTGCTGCTTTTAATATTTGCTCTCTCTGTTTGATCTTTGTTAATTTGCTTAATATGTGTCTTGGGGTGTTTTGCCTTGGGTTTATCCTGTTTGGTGCTCTCTGGGTTTCTTGGACTTGGGTGGCTATTTCCTTCCCCATTTTAGGGAAGTTTTCAACTATTATCTCCTCAAGTATTTTCTCATGTCCTTTATTTTTGTCTTCTTCTTCTGGTAGTCCTATGATTCAAATGTTGGGGTGTTTAACATTGTCCCAGAGGTCTCTGAGGTTGATTTTATTTCTTTTAATTCCTTTTTTTTCTTTTTTCCACTCTGCTTCATTTATTTCTACCATTCTATATTCTATGTCACTTATCATATTTTCTGCCCCCGTTATTCTACTGTTGGTTCCCTCCAGAGTGTTTTTGATATCATTTATTGCATTATTCATTATATATTGACGCTTTTTTATGTCTTCTAGGTCCTTGTTAAACACTTCTTGCATCTTCTCAATCCTTTTCTCCAGGCTGTTTATCTGTAACTCCGTTTTGTTTTAAAGATTTTGGGTCATTTTTACTATCAGTATTCTGAATTCCCTTTCAGGTAGATCCCCTATCTCCTCTTCTTTTGTTTGGTTTCTTGGGCATTTATCATGTTCCTTTACCTGCTGATTATTTCTATGCCTTTTCATCTTGTTTAGATTGCTATGTTTGGGGTGGCCTTTCTGTATTCTGGCACTTTGTGGTTCCTCTTCTTTGTGGCTCTTTCTCGCTGTGGATGGGGTTGGTCAGGTGGCTTGTCAAGGTTTCCTGGTTAGGGAAACTTGCATCGGTGTTCTAATGGGTGGAGCTGGATTTCTTCTCTCTGGAGTGCAATGAAGTGTCTGGCAGTGAATTTTGAGATGTCTATGGGTGTGGTGTGACTTTGGGCAGTCTGTATATTGAAGCTCAGGGCTATGTTCCTGCATTGCTGGTATGTCTCGTTCTGGAACTTGTTGGCCCTTGGGTGGTGCTTGGTTTCAGTGTAGGTATGGAGTCTTTTGGAAGAGCTTTTATCGATTAATGTTGCCTGGAGTCAGGAGTTCTTTGGTATTCTCAGGTTTTGGACTTAAGCCTCCTCCCTCTGGTTTTCAGTCTTATTCTTACAGTAGCCTCAAGACTACTCCAACTATACAGCACTGATGATAAAACATCTAGGTTAATGATGAAAAGCTTCTCCACAGTGAGGGACACCTGGAGAGGTTCACAGAGTAACATGGAGATGAGAAGAGGGAAGAGGGAGATAAAGGTAGATAGGGAGATAGAGATAGAGGAAGAGGAGATAGAGATAGAGATAAAGGACTCAAAAGGGGAGAGAGAAAGCTATCCATTAATCAATTCCCTATGTACTCTCCACAGTCTGGGCACCTCAGAGAGGTTTACAGTTACACAGCAAAGAGAAGAGGGAGGAAGGAGACAGAGGTGACCAGGAAGAGAAAAGGGGGAGTCAAAAGGAGAGAGACAGATCCAGCCAGTAATCAGTTCTCTAAATGTTCTCCACAGCCTGGAACACACAAAAAGATTCACAGAGTTGGGTAGAGATGAGAAGGGGGAGGGAGAAGATAGAGGCGACCTGGTGGAGAAAAAGGAGAGTTAAAAGGGGAAGAGAGCAATCAATGCTGTAATCACACTCCCAAGTTAAAATGGGTACTGAAGATTGGGTTCTTTAAGGTACAAAATTGATAATAAATACCAAAAAGCGAGGATTAAAAATCTAGTGTAGAGGTTAGACTCTCAAAAATGAAATATTAAAAAAGTCACAAAAATTATAAAATATATATATGAAGTTTGCTTTAAAAATAGGGTCTTTTTTGGCAAGGTAATAGTAGGTTATAAAAATGAAAATTAGGGAGTAATAGAGGACTTTAATAACTTAAACATTGGTAATAGTAAAAATATATCTAGGAATTTTTCTGGAGCTGTTGCAGGCAGTGTGGGGTCAGTTCAGTTTCAGATAGTTCCTTGATCTGGTTTATACTTCTCAAGATCAGTAGGCCCCTTCCAGTGTAGTCGGTGCTAACTACAGGGTTTTAATCTGTTGCACCTGTCACTTCCAAAGTGGTTCCCTCTGTTTATTTTAGTTTCCTCTATTTGCTCGTCTCTTCAGTGTCTAATTTCCACCCTGACACAGGGGGGCAAAAGTGATCACTATTTAGGCTCACTTGTTCAGCCGTGCTGTGGGGAGGGAGGAACACTATAAAGAAATATCACTGGCATGGGAAATGCTCGAAGACTCGGCCGCACTGGGTTTGCCCCAGCTCAGGGTGCATGCACTTTCCCAGTTTACACTTCTCCGGATCTATGTTGCTTCTGCTAGTGCACTGTCTGAAGCAGGCCCTGGGTTGCATGCACTTCCCAGGTCTAAGCCGCTCAGGTAAGGTTCTGGGGTACTCCACAAAGGCATGGACTGAGTTGGGCCTGTGTTTTGTGCCCTTCCCAGGTCCCAGCAGATCAGGCGACCAGGTGCTTGTAGTAGTCTCCCCAGGTGGGCAGTGTGTTTTATCACCTCCCTGGTCCCAGCCGCTTGGTTTCCTGGGTGGCAGAGGGCATGCCTGTCTCAGGTGTGCCATGCATCTCTTCTTGGGAGCTGATCTCTGGCTGTGACCCTCCCGGCGGATGTCAACCATCCAGAACCCCAAGAAGTCTTGGTTAGCAACTGGGTGCCTGCTTGCAGTTTGGTAGAGAATGCCTCCCTGGGCCCGATATTGCCCCTTTCCAGCTCTAGCTGCCCCTGCTTGCCTCCCCGTCTCCAGGGGTGATGGGATGGTGTGCAGCAGGCTAGCTCTCCTCTGGTATTTGCTCAGTCCTTTGTTCTGTGAGCGGGCCTCTGCTGTGCCTTAGGTTAGGGCTTTTCATGGGATAGGTCTCTCTGATTCTCTCTCTCTCTCTCTGGCTATCCCACAGTTGTGGTTGCTATCTGATGTTAGATCCCTCAGATTGCCTCAGGGAGTTCAGGCCCTGTCCTTACCCTAAGCAATGAAGCCTGCACCTCCCTGTTCAGCCCACACTTGCTGGTGGCGGATGTGAGCACTGGGAGTTGCCTCTAGGCACGTAATCTGTGGGTTTTATTTATTTATTTATTTTTCTCCTAGGTATGTAGCCCTCTGAGATTCCAACACTCTCCACAGACCCACTGGTGAGAGTGTTTCCTAATGTTTGGAAACTTCTCCTCTTTTAAGACTCCCTTCCTGGGACACATCTCCATCCCTATGTCTTTTGTGTCTCTTTTTATCTTTTATATTTTGTCCTACCTCCTTTCAAAGACAATGGGCTGCCATTCTGGGGGCTTGATGTCCTCTGCCAGCATTCAGAAGTTGTTTTGTGGAACTTGCTCAGCTTTCAAATGTTCTTTCAAAGAATTTGTGGGGGAAAAAGTGGTCTCCCCATCTTATTCTTCTGCCATCTTCAGAACGCCTCTATCTAACATGTAAGATGTTAAAACTACTAATGGAGGTATTTTATTTGATGCTATTTCGTTTGTATCATTAAAAGAATAAATGCTTATAGTTTAGTTTTGCTTGTCGGTTTTACCTTGATTTATAAAGAAACTAAATAATTTTCTCCTTTGATTTTAGTTACAGATCTATCATAATCCAAATTTCAAAAGAGGCTATCCCCAACTTTTAGTAAGAATGAAAAGAAGAGTTGGGATTAAAAATGTCTCTCCAATATCTTCATTAGTTCGAGATTACAAGAAGAAGCATGTTAAAGCACGGGGCAACATAGATGATCGTAACTCTAATTTTCTTCCAGAAACTAGTGGGCAGAGTGCATTTTCAGCCTCGACAAGTTTAAGTGTGCCTTTCATACGAAAGCCTTATATCAGGCAGACAGTCGCTAATAGAAGTGCCCTATCTCCGTGTGATTTTCCTTCCCCATCATCAATATCAGTTAGACAAACAGAACAGATTGTGATAGATCAACCTGCTGTTTTAAATCAGTTGAGCGTTTTAAATAGGCACTCACATAACAGCTACACTCAAGCAAATGGCCTCATTGAGAACTTTACTATGACAATTACTTCTATTTCTCAGAACCACATCGTATCTCCATTACAGAGCAGTTATTTTGGACTGATGGTGGAGCCGTCTAAATTTCCAGTTAGGTACAGCGATAGGTCAGTCTATGACAGTCCTTTTCCTAACCTGCAACAGAGAGCCAACTCATGGTCCCCAGTGCCAAGGATCCGTGATACATCTGCCTCCTCTCTTTCAAAGTCAACTCATCAAAAATCTTCATTATATGAAAACCATCCTAATTAAAACTGATCTATCAAATATGTGTCAGATTATGCAGCATAATGAAGATTAAAATTTACGGTGGGAGACGTCAGCAAATTCCTACAATTCTCATATTTGAACAATAAAGTTACATGTTCATCTTCATAGTTTCATTTTCTATTTTGAAACGAGTAAATGGGGCCTTATTTCAATGTCTGGCTATATTAGTGTGTTGTTTTATACACTCTTTAGTTCAAGGAAGCATTCTTTATGCATCCTAGGTAAATGAGAGCTAATCAATTGTTTCTAAGCAAGAAAATGAGAACAAAGTGAAAAGAGGTAAAGACTGTAAAACTGATTTCTGAAATCATCCCTGCTGAAATGAATGGGTGTCTACATTATGATAGTATGGGAGAAGGAAGGGATACAAATAAAATTAAAAAATGCAAATACACAGTACATACCTTAGAGTATTCTGAGTTACATCATATTCTATGAGTTACTGGATAGAGTCTTAAGAGGTTAGACAGGTTGTCCACATAGAAATTCATTTAATCTATGAAAATATAGATGTTGTAGCATATCCAAAATCATGATTGCCATCATAACATCACTGGGATACCAAAGACAACATGGCATAGTCAATGATTGGCCCATGGTCAGCACAAGATTGGCACTTTACAAGATAGGCATTTTACCTTATAATACAAGGCATTATATAGGGTCATTTTTGCTCTGTTCTCCTTAAGGCATGCCTTTATTTCCTCCCACCAAGATTCCACGCTATATTTCCTAGTGCATATTTAGGTGTTGCTTATCTCTTCCCACAGAGACAGAATAAATTCCTTGTGGTGACTGCAGCACCTCAGTATGGTTAACAAATTCTTTGAAGAGGCATGATAGCTGTTTCCTTTGCTGTTTCATTATCTTTCTGTTACACTTGGCTTCTGGAGTTATAATCACACAAACTACTTTCAGTCATGCTAAGCCCCACCTGACAACTTTGCCTCAACTCTTTCTTAGTGTTGGAAGGAACCTCTGTTTGCCCTCCTATCAAGGTAAGCACAGATAACAGGTCTTCAACGTGTTTTACCCTCTTTTCTTTATGTATCTTTCACATCAGCTAAAACGTAGAGCCTGAAAATGACACATTTTAAGTACTTACTGAATTATAATAAAGAAATGTAATAACCAATAAAATGCTATATACATTACTCAACAACATCCCATAACCTGCATTATCATCATAATTGACCTTTCCTATTTACTGAAAAATTTTTCCAAGTAGATAAATATTTATTATATTTACATGAATGTCACATGTGGTAATTCAAATTATAAAATGATTGCTGCTCTCATGAAGTTTACTGTCTATAAGAACCCATTCTAAGCATGTTGCCTCAGGCCCCAGTTCCCTAAAATTCAGTAGTAGTTATAGAGATATGTATTTAAAAAAAAGGGGGGGGGATCATTCAATTTAATCATCTAGGAAAGTCATGGAATAAGCAGGAATCAAAATAAATGGTAATCCTTAATATATTTCACAATGAAATACTCTGAGCAGACTGTGCTTGTTGGACTATCCAGATTGTCATGAACACTACCTAGAAATATTGGCAATCTCAAATTTGTGGCCATTCTTTAGACAGGCGTGGCAACATCAAGTCATGTCCCTGTTTTATTATGGTAATCCACATAGAACAGCACAATGTTAAGTTCACCGTTCTCATTCTTGCAGCCAACAGACAGTGAAATCTGTGGAATATTTGCATAGATAAGGGAGTTGTCCACACAGCACACTCTTTTTCTTTCACTGAAAACTTTCATTAAATGTAGGTGAGAATACCATGCTTTAGAGAGGTAAGCATTTTACAGCAATTGTGAGAGCTATTGAAATTGGTGTCCTTAGTTATCACTTCAAGCACAAAGTCCAATGGGCCTTGTTTTAGATTTCAGGCATATTAGTATGTAGTCAAATTTGCTTGCTTTGAGAAATATCACCTTAAATGTGATTATATCTCCTATTTCATTACCATATACTGATTATTCCTTCTCACTCCCTTTTAACTTCTTTTCATGTTCTGGTTTGAGTGGCAGGTCCTTCTCAAACAGAACAGGGTTAATTCACTTAGTCCTCTGTGATAACTTGGAAAAGGCATGGATAAGGACATCCCATATATTGTGTTTAAAAACTACTGTTTTTGTTCCCTCCTGAAAACATATTATTAAATTGTACCTCAATTGCCCTACCAAAGGAAGCCTGGTTGCATGATACATTACCTTGGTGATAAATTTCCATATGGCTTTAGCATATCAGTACCTTTAATTCTCAAAAGCTTATTAGAGAATATAGCTCAGTACATTAGGTAAACATTGTACATGAATTCAGTTTAATTTCCTTTATTTTTTTATTTATTTTATAATTGGTGCCTTAAACTGCAAAAGTGAAACTGAAAATTTAAGTGAGGTAAATGCAGAAGATTGGGACAAAAAGTAGAAATATTGATAGGAGAAGGTCAGAGGATGGAATTGGATGCTTAAAGTGTAACAAGTAAATGTGTAACTGCAGGGCCTGAAGAGGTCAATATGTCTTCAATATTGTTACCCTACAATATTATTTTCATTTTAGCAAAACACAGAATAGTCTTACATACAAAATATTCTAAGATCCCCTGGAGTGCAGAACAAAGGTATATCTTTTAAAACATTCTGATTTAAAATGTCACTAGAGTGAAATCATTCAACTACAAAATAACTTCCAACATTAAGCCTACAAACAAGTTACAGATAACTTCTGTGCAGTTCATAGGTGTCCCTTGGTGAGTCCTTGGGTTTTCTTTTCCTTTTGTTAATTGTGTTTTGAGCATATAAGATTGTGACTGTGCTTGTGTGTGTCCATCAGAGTAAGAACGTGTTTGTGAGTGTATGTCTGGGTTTTCTTTTTGACTTTTATGTTAGAGATTTTGGCTGAAGAGATGGTTAATCCAAAAATACAAGAGGCACCAATTAAAATGCCCATTCAAAAGTCTACTTTCTCTTTTTAAAGTGTAAGACAAATGGGTGAGTTTCAAAGGTTGAAAGCATTTCAATAATAACCAAGCTACTCCACCCAAACATAGTTGAAAACTATGGTAGTCTCCCAATCAGCCCAGCAAAAGTTAAGTGAGACCTTAGATGTCTATTACGTCTGGCAATGACAAAACACCCACCTTCTAATATGGCAGTACCAGAGAAGGCTTAGTAGATGCCTGGGGTTTCAACCAAGTCCTTCCTGTAAGAGGATACTACCTTCCTTCATAGCCAGGAATGTACTGTGAAGAATTAATGGGGAGCCTGGAGGCTGCACACTCACCAATAGTGAAGAACACTCTTAGGAATCAGATGACACTAAGGATGAAATCTGGAATTCTGTTCCCACATGGTGGGAGTTGCCTTCCCCCTTCCCAAGTGTATCAGACAGTTAAAATAGAAGGAATAACATATAACATGGCCCACATTCTTACCTAATACCTTAAGTGTCCAAGCCCAACCACACTGCTAAGATGGTGACTATACAGGACTTCTGGGTTTCAACTCTGTGTGGCAACCATCAAATAAAAATTTTATGAATATTTGAGATGTATTGATAGTGCAAATCTATAAAGCCAAAAGTCTTGAGATCTGATTCAAAGAGGAAAACTGTGTACTCCCCGTCATCAGTTTTATGGGGCTTTCACATGCATTCACTCACTTCCACAATCCTCAACCTTCATCTGAAGGCACAAGCTGTGACATTAAGAGGAGAGAAATGGTCTGTTCACAGAGAAGGAGAGTGGCAAAGTCAAAATGGATCCAGTCACCTACCACCTTCCATGCTCAGTAATGTAACCCCTTGTAAGCACTCCTAAGGGTGACGAGGATGCACAAATCAAAGTTGCTGCTCACTGGATTACAGATTTTGACTGAGAAGCTATAAGTTTGTTTACCTCTCCCCCAATTTCTAAGATCACATACCATGCATGTTAATACATAAGAAGATGGGCAGCTCTAGGAGACATTCAGAGACAGTGCCTGATTCTGTCTAAGACCAAGGTTGTTGGTCCACGGGGCATGTGGGCTAAGGTTACCATTTCAGGATACCACATGACTCTGCAGGAGTTCTTCTCTGGAAAGCTCACGAAAGGCATTGTGAGAAGTACATTTTGAGGGAGGAAAAGAAGGAAACTGACCAGAGCTGTGTTCTTAATAATTGTCCTTAATCTCAGTTATTATCCCAGGTACAATGCTAGAGTTAACATGCTATCTGAACCATCTCCCAAGCACTGCCAATACCAATTTTTTGATGTTGTTCAGTCACTCAGTCTTGTCTGACTCTCTGCGACTCCATGTACAGCAAGAACCCTGGGCTCGCTGCCCTTCAAATAGCCCACAGTTTTCTCAAACCCATGACCTTTGAGTCA